TGAAAATTTCAGTCAAATTGAACCACTCTAAACCGAGATTTTATCGATTGAATTTTCGATCTAGCCTCGATCATCATTTCTAAAATCGGTACGATAATAAACATAGTCTCTATTATCCATTTTTTTATTTAATCATCAACGAGCGTTGAGCAGCAGATCGGATTCCAATCCAGTAAATATCGCAGGCTAACAATGACATCGAGAGTTGATTATGGTCTGGATAAGTTAATTAATGTCTAATTAATAACATTTCAGAGGGGCTGCATCCTTACTGCGCTGCTACGGCGACGGAAAATGGTCCCAGAGCGCGTCAAGATCGTTATTAGCGTGGTAAAAGCGTGATGGAAACGCCAGATATCGTGCTGTGATCTCCATGGTCGCCAATGTTCAAAACAAACGCCAAGGTTCTGAGATCTGACCTGGAAGGCTGTGAGGAGGCGACTTTTTTTCAAGTTTGTAATTTTTCTTGACATTTTCTCGTGTTGTGTTCACGTTTGCCGGCGACATTGTGCATTTTCTGGTCGCCGTAAGGTCGCAGCAGCGCAGTAAGGGCCCCGCCCCGGTATGACGGGGGCTTAAAGAAAGACTCGCATTAGGCACACTAAGCTCTTGCATAATGTATGTTTAATGAGGAGATTCAGACGACACGCTTACATATATACACATATAAATACCGGGGTCTTATGGTAGGCCGATGGGGTCATAATTCTTTCTACTTCTGTATTATATAATATTGTACACAACCTTTGTAAGTCACACGGTACGATGTTATAATTCAACCTTGTGTGTGGAAACTTTCTCATAAATTCAGATGGCGTAAATTTACCGTTAATTATTTAACATCCCCACATGGTTTGTTCTATAAACGGTGATGGGGGAGGACGGCCGAATGGTTAGCAGGTGCGCGCTGTATGTGTCTAGTGGGCGGTAAACTCTCTCTCTCTCTCTCTCTCTCTCCCTCTCAAATGTGTGGCTAGCTAGAGTTTGCCCAGATAAGGGGGGTCGGGGTGTTTGTCACACCCCATCACGCACACATTCAACAGTTAGGGGACGTCCTCCGAAGATTGTAAATGGGAAAATGCTGAGAAAAAACATCGACTGTCTCTATGGTAATTATGCTCGTGCCGTAAAACAGACGACCTTTATTTATCCAAATGTTATGTTTATTACTACAAACACACGCGCATTTATGGGTTTTAACCACGCGCCTTGCGTGGTCATAAATAGATAGCTATTAATATTTCGTCGCCGTAAATTCCTCAATTAAATTTAAAACTACATTCATAAAAATATTATTTCGTCTTTTCTAGTTTTATTCCCGAGCAACATTCGGACTCCTCACCAAATTTACGACAACATCTTCTCATATCTTCTAGTACAACCTCACATTTCCATTCTTGATAATTATTGGCTGAAATTTCAAATAAACCTCATTTTATAATCTTACAAACTTTAAGTATCTTTTTTTTTATTTTCTATGCTTGCGTGTGCCAGGGAGGGAGGATTGTGACCGGACACCAGCGTTTTCATCTATTCTTCAAATTTCACATACCAAGAAGTAGTTAACGTGCACTGCCGAATTATAAAGGGGCTGAAAGATGAAGCACATTCTCCTTGTCAGTCTCACAGTGTCCAGTCGGCTAAATCTATTTGTTAAGGCCAGCTCAATTTTTGTCAAAGTCGCTGAGATGTAAATAAGGTTAGGGCACGTGATTGTTGGCGAGATTGTGGGTTAGGGTAAGCATTTGGGCTAGGTCCAGGGTTTAACGTTCACTCGACACAGACCAGGTCATTTTGGGACTAACATATGATTCGATTTTATTCTAATAATTCGCTTGCGCGTAGGGGTCTTTAGCAGTGGGAGGAAACCTGGAGGACCCGGAGAAAACCCACGAGGTTGGACAGGCGACCCTAATCCTTGTCACGTGAAACCAGTGAATCGAAACCATGCCAGTTGACTCAAGAGAGAGAGAGAGGGGGGGGGGAGGGGAAGAGAGAGGGTGTCGAAACTCAATATCAGACCTTATGATACAGCGCGCACGTGCCAACCATTCGGCCATCCAACCCCAACGAATTACATATAATGGGGGCATCAAAAACTTTTAAGTGCTTAGGGCCTCTGAGAGTTTTAATCCGGTCCTGGAACCACAAAGGTTCTTCTCGGCCTCCCATTACCTTCAGGTTGTTAATATTCTAGGACCGAAGCACACACTACTGTGAGTTCGAATCAGGCGTAACCATAGTAACGTTTTGATAGCGTTGGATAATATCCAGATGAATTTATCTTTTTTCTTGAGACGTCTGATATCGTAGATCTGAGGTCCAATCTATGAAAACATCATCAAATTATATTCAAAGGTAAAACTGACCTTGTAAGCATTTTTGTATGGCACACGCTTCTTTCTGGCAAGGATCGACCTTTTCTTTCGCTTTTGGCATTTAATCTGAAAGATTAATCAAATAACATGAAGTGTTACTGTAAGTATGTGGGAAGGCGGTGGGGGCGAATGGTTAGCACGTGCGAGCTGTATCATAAGGTCTGTCATTGTGCCAACTGGCGTGGTTTCGAAACCCCGGTTGTCCAACCTCGTGGGTTTTCTCCGGGTTCTCCGGTTTCCTACCGCTGCTAAAGACCCCTACGCGCAAGCTAATTTTTGAAATAAAGTGTGTGTCGTGTCGAGTGGACGGTACCCCCCCCCCCCTTCCGCCCACCCCCTCTCTCTCTTCTCTCTCTCTGTAAATGTTATTATGACAGGATAATATATGTATTTGGTATCCCCCCCTCTCCCTCTCTCTCTCTGTAAATGTTATTATGACAGCATTATATGTATTTGGTATCCCTGTATATTATTGCAGGATTTTACTTGTAAAGGTGTCAGGTTATCGTCGTCTTATAAACGACAAGATAAAAAAAAGTCCGGCACAAGGTAGTGCACGACAGGTGTCTACACGATTTGAAAGTGTTGATCAATTCACTGTGGGCCCAGTGACGTGTGTTATTAATTACATTATGGGAGATTCGATAACGAGTTGGCAGTTCGCACTATAATAGTTACAAACTAGATAATGTAAAGGCAATTTGCTGAAAATTTCATTGAAATTGATCAACTATGAACCGAGAACTAAGCGATTGAAATTTCCGCGAAGGAAAGTTAAACAATAAATCGGCTCATAATCTCTAAAGATCGCAAGCTAGCGATGCCATCTAGAGTTGATTATGGTCTGGATAGGTTAATTAATGTCTAATTAATAATTTAGATAACATTTCAGGCCTAAAGAAAGACCTGCAATAGGCAGATTTAGCTCTTGTATAATGTATGTTTAACTGTTTTAGAATATAAGGATACTCGAAGTAATAGGCCTATTATAGGCCTACAACACACGTTATTATAATGATTTTTTTTGATCAAATCTTCGGGGTTTATGGAGACAATCGGTGAACACTATGCCATCGGATTGACATGTTTTCAAAACCCTTTCGAACGAATTCCTAAGTCTTTAAAGGGACATTATGTAAGAGCTAAATCTGTCTAATGTTCATCTTTCGTTTACCCACAAATGTTATATAAATCATAAATTAGATATTCGTTCACATGCCAAGTCCATAATCAACTCTCTAGACCACCGAGTGGTTTTGATTTTCACCGGATTTATAAACACTACTACCAGTTAATAATTTAACTAAAAAATAACAACGGTAGCAGTGACAATCGAGACTACATCGTTCTTCAAACAGCCATAACTCCGCCCAGATTAAAGTAAGTTGACTGAAATTTGCCACGTATTCCCTATTCATTATATAAAATCCTTATACGGCATTTAGTAACTGAACATATGATATAAAACACAAATTTATATGGAAAACAATCACTGAGTTTATTTCACACTACGTTTCAACAAATTCCTTGAGAACGACAAGAGGAACTTATTGAAACGTAGTGTGAAATAAACCCAGTGATTGTTTTCCATATAAATTTGTGTTTTATATTATTCATTATATATTTCTTTTTTTTTCTATTATAGCGGGAACTGTGTCGGCTCTTTGTCGCAATCTTACACAGTGCATCTTTAATTAAAATTTACGAGCTGATTACGGTATCTTTAACGACTAGCTAGAGTCATAATAAAATTAACTGTCTGTCGATGTCAATTGAGTTAACTGCCTAAAGGCTAGTTTCTATTATATAAAAACTGTTAACTGTTATTGGTCTAGTAAATAAGCATTAAAGGGCACTAAATTTTGAAAGGGATTTAAAACTGCCAGACTTCAGACCACCGGTCCCGTCCCCGTCCCATTTTATTATTTTTATTAAGACGCACATCGTAATATTATTATTATATATAATAATAAGAACTTTCAAATTTGAGTGAAGTCTGTGTCACTACAGGTCCCGGACTGTACAGCGCAGTGGACGCTTACGGCTGGCCCCCGGATCCATTCACTTAGTTTGATATTTGTTTATTTGGTGCAATGTCTCTTTTCTGTCTTGTCCGCAGGTTTATCTTGTAGAATTTTGTTTTGCGTGTAGTGCGTTCCTCATACACTTAATATTAGGCTACTATTATAAGCCTAGTGCCCTACTACTAATACTAATTGATAATTCGAAATATTTGTGGTTGAAACTGAAAGACTCGCGTTTTCTTTTCCTCTCCTCCGTTTTTAATTGTTGCCAATCGTGTCTCTATTAGCTCAGTAGAGCAGTAGGACGTTAAATCCCATTTCATTTCATTTCAAGTGTTGCCTTCCAAGGGAAATAACCCCTGTTTGTAGGCGTCATTCGACAAAGCAGTGGGAATGGTGACATTGCGGGACATGGCACCCAGAAAATATGATATTGCGGGTGAAAAAGGCAAGAAGAATACTGACCATACAACTTTAACAAATATATTTCTGGGTGTGACTAATAAACAGTCGTGGATAAAGCTGCTTTCAACCCTAAATTTTGTTTATACCCAAAGACAATATTTATACCTCGTTTAGTGTATCACGTAGGTCTGGATATTCTCGCGTAAAACTACTGCTCTGCGCATGACAGTGATTCGTGGCTACCTACTTCCTTTTAAAAGTCTCACGCCTGGCCTTGGTTGTAATATCTGAAGTACCAAGAGAAATCCTTAAACATCCATCAAAATGTTGATTTTCAAGGATAAAGTAACAGGTAATTTTTTATAAGAATTAATATCCGAATGTTTCTATTTCAAATGTTTGACTAATATTATTTCGAAAATGATAGTAATTATTAGAAACCAACAACCCACCGTCAATCGAATATTCAAGATACTGGGGACGGGGTGGGTAGGCCTAAATCTTTGCAAATAAAGCCACAAAGATTTAAAATAGATATTTATTCTATTGATGTACATAAACGGTACATGGCTGTTGATTATGACCATGTCAAAATTGAAAAATCGTGTCGTGAAACGTTAATAAATTGATCAATAATATTATTGTGTAGTTGTACCGTAAGGTAATATTTAGGGGTTGGTGACTTCCGGTCTGTCACAACTTTCACTTGTGTTCGCAATAATCATGGATCAACTAAAGTTACTGTCCTTCTCTATTGACGGGACGTGGACACAACGGCCCTGAAACATAACGATCAAAATCACTTGTTCAAAATGGAATTTATTTTATTGCAAAAGCAATAGTCTACATTTTACAAAACATTAATTTGGATAAAAAATAAATGGATAAATCATAAAAATAGCAACTGACTCTTTCAAAGTTTCATTTAATAAAAACAATTTTTAACAATGTTAAACCAGATCAAAAAAATAACTGATCAATTATAATTATTAGCCTGTATGTTAAATGTTTATTATTTTTTACAGGCGATGAGCTCTTCAGTGATGCCAATAATATGAAACTTATTGATAATATATATTACGAAGTATACGCAAAGGTAAATCAAATTTTAATTGCTAACTGTAGGAGCACGAATTGATAGTCAAGCAGGATGGAGGACAAAATGTGGGTGCATACTGCATGTGGCAGCAAATTGTTCATTCTATCTTCATTAGTCTGAGTAGGGGTGGATGGCCGAATGGTTAGCACATGAACGTTACGTCATACTGTCTGTCATTGAGTCAACTGGCGTGGTTTCGATTCCCCGGATGTACATGACCAGGAATAGGGTCACCTGTCCATCCTCGTGGGTTTTCTCCTGGTCCTCCGGTTTCCTCCCACTGTTAAAGACCATATGCGCAAGAGAATTATTCAATTGAAATTAAAACGTATGTTAGTCACGAAATGACCTAATTTGTGTCGAGTGGCCAATGTTCAACCCATTTCTCTCTCATTGACCTGTTTGGTGCAAAAAAAGTAGGACGTTAAACCCAATTTTATTCATTTCATTCCTGGGTTAAAATAAAATGGACACTGAAATGACTTTAAAGAACTGTAGACCTACATGCATTGAAATTTTTTGAAAGTAAAGTACAAAATCCTGTTTCTTAGTTTCTTATTGATCAAGAAATTTTATTATAGAACCCTGTATAACCAGTGCTGGCATATCAATGTTAAAATTGTTATTTTGTAGGTAAGAACAGAGAATACGGGTATTGATGAGTCGTTGTTGGGTTCTAATCCAAGTGCTGAAGATGCCCAAGAGACTGCTTGTGATGGTAGCATTAGTGGTATAGATATTGTACTTGCTAATCGTTTGAAACCAACCGGGTTTGACAAGAAGGGCTTCGGAACCTTGATCAAGGACTATTTCAAAAAGTAAGAAATGATATTGAACAAATGAATACAGATATTAATACAGCAGGGGTAGGGGGTGGTAATATACACCAATTTCTCTACTTTCGGTGCGTTCCTTTTGGTGGGGGGGCTGATGGCCGAATGGTTAGTGCGTACACATTGTATCATAAGGTCTGTCATTGAGTCCCTGGTTGTACGTGACAAGGAGTAGGATCGCCTGTCCAAGCTCGTGGGTTTTCACCTTCTACTTCTAAAAACTTCTAATTATTGAAATAAAGTTGAACCATATGTTGATCCAGAAATTACCTAGTTTGTGTCAAGTGGGCGTTTCTCTCTCTTTCTCTCTACTTTCAGTAAAATTTAACTTAGCTGCCATAAACTTATAGTTGGCATGTTTAGTGGGACTTGGCAATGAATTTGAAGGCACATTATAGTTAAATTTATTACACAAAACATTTTAGCAACCAGCTGCCTACCATTTTTATTGCAGACTCTGTTGCCCGCCAATTGACAATGTCAGCCCTTACATGTGTTTTTTTTAGGAGCCACGGTGGCCAAGTGGGAGGTCGCTTGTTCGATCCCTGCATTGGCCGAGAAAGTTCATCGGGATTTTTCGATGAGGTTTCCCCTTGTCAATGTTGAGTCGTTTGGATGTGACGAAAAACCAAGGTTCCGTGTATACATTTTCTAACACATGTTTAAGATTTACTTTAATTGGTTTTACTTTATTTCAGAGGTATAGCAGCTTTAGAGGATGAGGGAATTCCAAAGGAAGAAATAGATGAAATTAAACAACGGTGTGGTGAAAAGTGTAAAAAATTATATTCTGAATACAAAGAAATGGAATTTTGGTTAGGTACAGTACACCATTTATCAGATTTATAGCTTCTTGCAAATAACTTAATATCTTTTGGAGATGTGGGATGTGGTGTATTAGTCTAATGTCGAGTGTCATGGTTTTCATCCCAAACTTATAGGGGGGTTGGATGGCTGAATGGTTAGCGTGCGCACGTTGCATCATAAAGTCTGTCATTGAGTCGACTGGCGTTGTTTCGAATCCCCGGTTGTACGTGACAAGGAGTAGGGTCGTCTGTCCAACCTCGTGGGTTTTCTCCGGGTCCTCCGGTTTCCTCCCATTGCTAACCCTTCCCCGGTTATACGTGACAAGGAGTAGGGTCACCTGTCCAACCTCGTGGGTTTTTTGGATTCTCCGGTTTCCTCCCACTGAACCATATGTTAGTCCCGAAGTGACCTAGTTTGTTTCAAGTGGCTGTTAAACCCAATCTCCGCTCTCTCTCTCTCTTCATCTGACATCTATAGATCAGTTGGAAGTGGTAAATAACAACAAATGTTTTTCAGCTTGTAATTTGGTAGTAATCTTTCATGAGTTACAGGGGTGTTGGATGGCCGAATGGTTAGCATGCGCACACGGTATCATACGATCGGTCATTGAGTCAACTGGCGGGGTTTTGATTCCCCGGTAGTTCGTGACAAGGAGTAGGGTCGCACGTCCAACCTCATGGGTTTTCTCCGGGTCCTCTGGTTTCCTCCCATTGCTAAAGACCCCTACGCGCAAGCGAATTATTGAAATGAAGATTAAACCATATCTTAGTCCCGAAATGACCTAGTTTGTGTCAAGTGGACGTTAAACCCCATTTCTATCTATCATGAGTTACAGGAGCTGTGCGGGTTATCTAGAAATGTCCAAAAAGCACTTTTTGCCGTTCAGTTTTACTATTAAAATGTGAACCTTTCCCTTAGTGCAAAATTAATTTTACTTTTGTTTTGAAAAACATCAAAACAGATGTTTAGTAGTTTCTGAAGTAAATACAAAAACCTGTCAAGTCCAAATTATTGTGTATTCTTATTTCGAAGAAATGCGGGACAGAGGGCCTGACAACGATAGCTGTCTAGTCGTCCGGATGGGACTAAAATCTGAGGTCCCGTGTATGCATTGGCGTAGTTGGAATTCGATATAACATTAGGCCATAGTGTTGCTCCCCGGGCAAAATTTCCCTCATAGCAAATACTAGTTACTGTATGAATGAAAGGACATCATGTTTTAGATTTCTCCAGGGTATAGAAATACCAAAATCTGATAAAGAAAAGTGTAACAGTTTTCCTGCAATGACAAGATATTTTTTATCTTTTTTTTTTTTTTGAAGGCGAAAGTCAAGAACCCGAAGGCTTAGTTGGTATTTCTTATTACACCGGGGATACAGAAGTGACGATGATCTTCTTTAAATTTGGATTAAACCGGGAAAAATTTGTAAGTATTAGTTTCATTTCACATTTTCTCTTAAAAGTTAGATTACCCAAATTCTGTGTTGCTTAAAAAACTTTGACATTTTTAACAATTGTTGGGGTGCGGGGGTTTGAAGGCCGAATAGTTAGCGCAAGCGGTGTGTGTTTATCATAATGTCTGTCATTGAGTCAACTGGCGTGGTTTAGATTACCCGCCTGTATGTGGCAAGAAGTAGAGTCGTCTGTCCAACTGTGTGGGTTTTCTCCGGTTTCTTCCCACTGCTGAAGACCCCTAGTCGCAAGCAAATTATTGAAATAAGATTGAACCGTATTTTAGTCCCAAAACGACCAAGTTTGTGTCAAGTAGAAGTTAAACCCCATTACTATCTCTAAAAGAAAATGGTTCCTCGGGATTTTCTGACGTGGTTTCCCTCTTGTTGGTGGTCTAGTCGATCTCGTGTGACAAATCGAGGTCCTGTCTACACATTGACGTGCACGTAAGAGATCCCTTGGCCGTTGGAATTCGATATAAGAGTAGGCCATAGTGCCACTGCCAGACAAAATTTCCCTCCTAGCTAGAACATCTCTTTTAATGAGCTCACAATAATAACACTAGTTTTGTTTCACGATTTAAGAATTATGTTTTTCTTTTTCAGTAAAATGGCTCTAATTAGGAAATATACAAAAAGCTTTCTTGAAGATGGAAAAAAATTAAAAAAAAACAAAACACAATTATTGTGCACAAGACTATTGAAGTGACAATGAAATAGTAGGGGTTTTGGATGGGGGAGGATTATATTTATTTGATCATTTAAACAATCTGAATACTTCCATCGAATATTGATCACCAAGGACTTTATTTTAAATGAAAACTACCTGTTCAGTTATACCTGAGTTATACCCGTTTAATTGGCATCCTTGAAGAGAAACGACGAGACATATATTTATAAACAGTGTTGGACTTGCTGCTTAAACTTGCTGTTTTTATATAGTGACGGCTAATATTACTATTGATGTTAACCGAGGACTAAAAGGCTGTCAGTCAATAGACTGTGATAATTATAAAGTTGGGAGATTTTTAACACCTGTAATTATGACAAGACAATTTACTGCTACAGAATAAATTATTCTACATCACATTTCTTCTTTATTCCTTATTGTCCCCGCCTTTCGAAGAAAGCAGGGGACTATTAAAATGGGTTCATCTGTCTGTCCGTCCGTCGTCACTTTTTGGGACACAATAACTCTTTCTAATTGAGCTAGAATGTTCCAACTTGGTGTAGGTGTTTATTAGGTCAATACCTTGATGGAGTTCGAAGATGAGCATTTTCCGTTGAGGGTAAGCGGAGATAAGCAAATTGATTGGTTGATGCTTTGGTACACGATAACTTTAGTTCTAATTAAGTGAGAGTGATGGAACTTGGTGTATAGTTTCATTACATCAATACCTTGACTAATTCGATAATGAGCATTTTATGCTCAGGGTAAGCAGAGCGATAAGCAATTTGATTGGCCAAGATTTTAGAAACAAAATAACTCTCCTAATTGAGCTAGAATGTTCAACCTTGTTGCAGATGATTATTGGGTCAATGCCTGATGGCGTTCGATGATGAACATTGACTGCTAACGGTAGGCAGAGATAAGCAACCTGATTGGTTGATGGTTTGGGACACGATAACTTTAGTTCTAATTAAGTGAGAGTGAGGACACTTGGTGTTTAGCTTTATTACATCAATACCATGACTAAGTTCAATAATGAACATTTTCTGCTGAGGGTAAGTGGAGCGATAAGCAATTTGATTGGTCGAGACTTTGGAACACAATAACTCTCCTTCTAATTGAGGTAGAATGTTCAAACTTGGTGTAGGCATTCATTAGGTGAATCCCTTGATTGAGTTCGATGATGAACATTGTCTGCTTACGGTAGGCAGAGATAAGCAATCTGATTGGTTGATGCTTTAGGGGCACGATAACTTCGGTTATAATGAAGTGAGAGCGATGAAACTCTGAATATAGATTCATTATATCATTACCATGACTAAGTTCGATTGTGCAAATTTTCTGCCTGGGCTAAGAGTGATAAGCAATTTGATTGGTCAAGACTTTGGAACATAAAAACTCTGCTTTTAATTGAGTTAGAATGTTTAAACCTGATGTAGATGTTCTTTGGGTAAATGTCTTGACGGATTTCAATGATTAACATTTCGAGCTAAAGCTAAGCAGAGCTAATCAATTTCTTTGGTCAATGCTTTGGGACAAGATAATCTTGATTCTATCTGATAGAGAGTGATAAAACTTAGTGTGTAGTTTGATTGCTCGATACTTTTGAAAAAAATAAATGTGGATTAATGTATCATCTATTTATTTTGGGATTTCAGCGGGGACATCAACCTCACTGTTGGCTTGTTACTCAACGTTTTGGTTGGCTAAGTGGGTAAGACGCTGGCTTGCTAGCCTGGTGGTTGCGTGTTCAATCCCTGCATTGGCCAAGACAGTTCATCAGGATTTTCCGACATGGTTTCCCCCTTGTTCTGACAAGAACAGCTGTCTAGTTTTTCGGGTGGTACGAAAAACTGAGGATCCGACCCATGTATACATTGGCATGCACGTAAAAGATCCCTTGACATTTGGTATATGATATAAGAGTAGGCCGTAGGCAAAATTTCCCTCATAGCACATTGTATGGCATATGCCCGTCTTCATTAGCCCAGTAGGAGCAGAACAGTAGGACGTTAAACCCCATTTCATTTCTTTTAAAATAGTTTGTCTTGGCTGGTGTTGAGAACTTAGCTTACAATATTAGATCAGAGAAAAATAGAAAAAAAACATGCATTACTATGTTTTTATTAAGTATAGAATGAATAAAAACAAACAGGATGTACGGACTATTTCTATTTTTCTCATTTGTACCTCTAGAGGGACCACAAGCTAAAGCGCCCAGGGGCCCCGTATTCATTAGACAAGTTGGAGCCGAACAGTAGGACGTTAAACCCCATTTCATTTCACAACCAATGGCCCATAATCCAGGAAGTTACACTCCGATATTCGCGAATCTCGAAAGGAACTGAGATCTTTCGAGTTATAAATATTAGGGCACATCAAAATTGCATTCTCCACACAAGTCTCGCTATCCAGCATTCGATAGTGTGAACTGCAGGGGAAGACAACTCTGTTTGGGAGATTGTCAAAATTGAATAAATATTTTGACTTCTAGAGTGTCCACAAGCAAAAAAACGTGATTATTCGTACAATCAGTTGCCATATTCCACGAAGTTCAAGTTCGATACATGCCAATATCGAAAGGAACCGACTTTTTTGAGAGATAAATCTATATTTAAGTTTCGTCAAAATCGGGGGATCACGTGGGTAAGACGCTGGCTCGCTAGCCTGGAGGTCGGGTGTTCGATCCCTGCATTGGCCGAGAAAGTTCATCCAGATTTTTCGGCGTGGTTTCCCCCTGTCAATGATGCAGGATGGAGGGCCTGACAAGGACAGCTATCTAGTCGTTCGGATGGGACGAAAAACCGAGGTCCCGTTCCCGAAAAAGATCCCTTGGCAGTTGGAATTCGATATAAGAGTAGGCCGTAGTGCCGCTGTCCGGGCAAAATTGCCCTCATAGCACACTGTATGGCGTATGCCCGTCTTCATTAGCCCAGTTTAGGAGCAGAACAGTAGGACTTAAACCCAGTTTCATTTCGTCAAAATCGGATAAAAATTGAACTGCAGTGTCCACAAACAAATTGTAGACCGACAGGGGCGACGACAATATACGTCCACATTAAATGTGAGCGTATAAAAAATGGCGAATGAGGTTAAGTCTCGAATAATAAGTGTCGTTACGATAATAAACAATCTTTGCCACATAATAAAATAATTTGAATGAAATTTTCAATATAATCATTTTGCATTATCCAAGACTTGGTGCAAATAATATGTCGGTCAGCAAAGTAATACTGGCAGTATCTCGAAACCCCCCTTTTTTTTTGTTTTCAACCAATTCAATTTGTTTGGTAGTTCGGATAAGTTTGCCGATCGGAGGGTATATATTAAAGGAGCTAAATCGCTAACATTTGGGACCTAGAAATTGACAAAAGTGGGTCGCAACGCTTATAATATAATATAAATATAATATGAATGTATATAAACCGATTTACATTCAATGGTTTCCGTTTTTACTCCAATTTCAAAATCAGTTATGTTCGGCGAAATAAGCCAGCAGTCTCAAGCGAGTGCAAATTTCTAGCGTCTGGTTATTCCAGTCTACATACGCCGTTTGATTTAGTACAACGTGTCTAGCCTCGTCCTTCGAGTCTCTTGATACAACTGGGGCTGAAGCGCATTATGGTACACGATTCGTGTACCAATGGTAAAATGTTTATTTTGTCTTAAATATTGGATATCAAAAGCCCATCTTTTCCCGGTAAGATCACAACAAGAATGTTGATTTAATTTGAGAAATAAATCGTGTTTTCAATGTTGAAGATTTTGGATAATATTGAGTTAGAGACTTAGCCACTTTAAACGTACTCTTAATTTGGAGGTTTGGTAATTTACAATTACGCCGAAGTCGATGCAATGACGAATGACGACCTTGTTCAAAAAACAATCATCAAATTGTATTTTTGAGTTGTTTGGTAGAGCGCCCCACGTAGACAAAATTTGTAATATTAAAGGTTGGACTTGCCCGTATTTTGTATTCACAATCGTTGAGTTGCCTAACTAGCCAATTATTAAATTAGATTTCTTGTTCCATATAGCTTTCCATATAGAATATTGGTTATTCGGGGCTATCATTAAGCCCGGTTAGATGTGTGACCTATTTTGCACTCACAAAATGCCGAATATTCTGTCCGCTTGTTGTTTAACGTTTTTTTAATTGGTTATAACTGGCTAAATAGGCCTACAACAGGGCAGTTTATTTAGTGACGATAAATGGGAGACACTAAGTTTAAAACTATAATACGCAAGAGCTAAATCTGCCTATTGCTGGTCTTTTTTTAGGCCTGAAATGTTATATAAATTAGACATTTATTAACATGACAATACCACAATCAACTATCGATGCCATCTTATCTGTTCAATTTTCGTTGGATTTGAATCCGATCTGCTGTTTGACGTCCGTTGACAATCGAGGCTACAAAGATTTTAAAAGAATGTTTTCTCGGCTTAGAGTGAAGTAATTTGACTGAAATTTTCAGCATATTGCCTTTACAACGTCTAGTTTGTAACTACTGTATTATAGTGAAAACTGTCAGCTCTTTATCTAATCTTCTATAATGTATCGTTAAGTGTTGTTAAAGGCTCAATACCACTCTTGTTGTAACTGAATAATATGTCCCAATCTTTATTCTCGTCAACAAATTGTACTATTTTAGAATATTTCAATTAATTGATGATACAAATTTCATCTTAACACACATTATTTAAAAATTTTGAAAAATTCAACATAATGGTTTGAAACGTCTAACGTAAACCCTTTCAAATGAAACTTCGATTTAAAAATATTTTCGAACCCTCTGGCCAAGTAAAATAGGATGTAATGGATAATTTACACAACAGGTAGGACACTTAAACATCTAGTACTTAGATAGAGATATTATATTTATTTTCTGGAGCTTTCGAGCCAGCAAGAGTGTTATTGTCCCTTTAAATATATGCATATTGCGGTATAATAATCAATGCATCTAGAGATATTTATTTATGGCCTGACATAGAAATGGTTCCACTACTGATGTCTTCCGCCTTACTCCAGCCACAGTAGTGGCTCGTCCTACGGAGTTCCTTTGCGCAAATTTTTTGGTCAAATCAATACAAAAAGGTTACTAGCTAAATAGTCCCTTTAATTTACACATAAACTGACCCCAAACTGTACTGCACATAGCTTAACATATAATAAACCAATTACCATTGAAATAAAGGTGAAACCTTACCGTATAATTATATGATTTGATGAAACCCAACTGTTACGCGAAATTTGGCGAGATTTCGTCTGGCTGGTGTCATGGCGGTTTACATTAAAGAAATGTCGCTTTGAAAATGTAGAACGCATAATTACCACAAAGAAAAACTGTTCGGTAACTATTTTAGTGGTCCAGTCTTCACTATTTGTGATATAATTACTTATTTCAATACAAACTGTAATGATATGTGTTGATGTGCGTTTGAACCTATTTAAACTTGCGTGTATCAATTGTAGCGTTAAACACATGTAGTTTAACGGTATTTGTAGCTAGGTCTGACACTCTTCCTAATGGGCTGCGCGTTAATCAACGCTACTAGAAACACTATAAAATTAATTCCAAGATTGCGAATACTAAAACGCATTAATTTCACGCCGCAGTTTATCTACAAAATCACTTCTGCGGTTTGATTTTTAAGCAGACTTTGAAATTCTGTCTATGGTTTCTCTGATGGCGTTGAGCGTTTCCATTCATATTGGAAAGGAATGTCAATATCTTTCATCTTCTCTCTGTATACCGCATCAAAATCTTCGTTCTGTGATACCGAATACTGATTCTTCCAATCTCCAATTTTACCTGAAAAAAAATAATTATTTTACAGAAATGAAATGAAATGGGGTTTAACGTCCTACTGTTCAGCTCCTATACTGGGCTAATGAAGACGGGCATATGCCATACAGTGTGCTATGAGGGAAATTTTGCCCGGGCAGCGGCACTCTTATATCGAATTACGTGCAATTCCAATGTATACGGGACCTCGGTTTCTCGTCTCATCTGAAGGACTAGACAGCTGTTCTTGTCAGGCCCTCCGTTCTGCACCACTGACAAGGGGAAATCACGCTGGAAAATCTGGATGAACTTTCTTGACCAATGCAGGGATCGAATACCCGATCTCCAGGCTAGCGAGCCAGCGTCTTAACAACCTATTATAGCCACCGTGACTCCCCAATTATTTTACAAGCTATGGATTAACTGATTGTATGAAGGTTAATTCATGCAATGGGCGGTTAAGAAAGATTATTTCGCACTATTTCTCTACCTGTTTTTAAATGTTATAACGTCCCTATAAAACCCTCTTAGTAATCCTATAACTGGTTTGTCTGTATGCCAAACTCATGAATGTTCTCCGGTTTCCACCAACAACGAAAGGGTCAGGCGCGCGAGCCGTAACAGTCAAATGGTGAGGCGTGCGTGTCGTAACTGTCAAATGGTGAGACGCGCGAGCCGTAACTGTCAAATGGTCAGGCGCGAGTGCCGTAACAGTCAAATGGTCAGGCGCGCGAGCCGTACCAGACGAATAGTCAGGCGCGAGACATTAAAAGCAAATAAATGAATTAGTCCAAATGCTGTTCCCAAATGACCCCCTCATCTTCCTTTGTTTTATATAATTGGGTAATGTGTTGCTTTAGAACAGTTAATCAGAAGCCATCCGTAATGTTGTCATCGCTGACAGATGGTACGGTGACTTGGTATAAAATACTCATTATATTCTACAAACAGTAAATGCTCAGGGAATAAAGATATTTATTATCGGCTGAGTTAGGAAAATCATTACAGTAAATAATTTGTCTTTATATAGCCTAAAAGTAATCTGAAATTAATTACATAATCATCTAAGTGTGGAGAATGGCAAATCGATAGCTGAATTAACGCATACCGTTTTGTTGTAGGACGTTGTATAATCCACGGCTGGTTTTAAGTGCAGGCATGATTGGATATTAATGAAGATACCGTACTGATTCTAACTTTAAACTTGTATATAGGCATAGATATTTTGTATCCTTCGATTTGTAGATCATGGGTTATAGTCTGACCTGTTGGCCGAGAAAGTTCATCGGAATTTTCCGACGTGGTTTCCCCTATCAGTAGTGCAGGGCGGAGGGCCTGATAAGGACAGCTATCTATTCATTCGGATGGGGCGAAAAACCGAGGTCCCGTATATACATTGGCGTGCACATAAAGGGTCCATTGGCAGTTGGAATTCGATATAAGAGTCCGTCATAGTGCTGGAGCCCGAGCAAAATTTCCCTCATAGCACACTGTATGGCGTATGCCCGTCTTCATTAGCCCAGTCTGAGCAGAACAGTAGGACGTTAAACCCCATTTCATTTCACAGTCCCATTTCATTTCATTTCATAGTCTGACCTGCACGGATCCTGGGGTAGTAAATCGACTCTCACGACGAGGCTCGGTAAGGGGCCGTGGGCTGTGGACCGAGATGAGCCTTTGAAAGCCAAAATAGCTGCCCATCCGTGTTCATTATCGTGTGACATATTGTTCCCTGTCATTCGAAGAATGCAGGGGAGCATTAAAATGGGTCTATACCGTTCGTCCGTCTGTCTGTCCGTCCACCTTTTTGGGACACAATAACTCTTCTTCTAATATTGATCTAGATTGTTCAAACTTGGTGTAGGTTTTTTGCTGGAGTTTGAAGATGAGCATTTTCTGCTTAGGCTAAGATAAGATAATCAGTTTGATTGCTCGATACTTTTCAATAACACAAATGTCCAATTAATTAGTATGTGTCATCGTTTTATTTTGGGATGTCGGCGGGGGGCATCAGCCTCACTGTATTGATTAAAATAACCGTTTGCAGAATAAATGGAAAATGTCGCTGTCTTGTTACATGAAGTCATTGTAATCAAATACAGATATGCTCTAAATAAGAAAGAAAAAAAAATGACGTTTATGTCCACTCGACACAAACTAGGCCATTTCGGGACTAACATATGGTTCAATTTTATTTCAATAATTCGCTTGAGCTAGGGGTCTTTGGCAGTGGGAGGAAACCGGAGGACCTGGAGAAAACCCACGAGGTTGGACAGGCGATCCCACTCCTCGTCACGTACAGTCAGGGAATCGAAACCACGCCAGTGACTAAATGACAGACCTTATGATACAACGCGCACACACTAACCATTGGCGCCTCCCCACCCCCACCAAAATGCTTAAAATGAGTTTGACGAGATAATTAACACCACGCCCCCATTCCATGGTTATGTTTTATTTACGAAAGTTTCCAAATGTCTTCCTTTTACTTCAGTGCCCGTGGGCTAAATCTATTTGTTAAGGCCAGCTCAATTTTCGTCAAGGTCGCTGAGATGTAAATAAGGTTAGAACACGTGATTGTTGACAAGATTGTGGGTTAGGTTTAAGAATTTGGGGGTAAGCATTAGGGCTAGGCCCAGTGTTAGAGTTGGGGTTGGGATTAGCGCCTTTTCAAATAGTGCCCCTGCTTGCTTTTAACCATCCTTACCTTTCCTCAATAAAGGTGAAATCTTGCTATTTATAGAATAAACGTCTTCATGATTGGTCATTGGATTTTTCTTCATATTGTCAAAAGTGCAGTGATTTGCTATTCTTGTGATAACCTCTTCAGATAAATCATGTTTTCCAATAAAATTAGCTATTTTCCTGATTTCACCTTTCAAATTCTACAATTAAAAGATGAATGAATAGAACTATACTTGGCACAATTATTACAATATGGCACCTTTAATTTGAAATATGTCTTCCATGGGACTGGGTTGGTTTAAAAATCCGATTTTAATTTTATACGAAATGAAATAGTGCTTAATGTCACGTCAGCAACAACCTACGTCTATAGAGACAAAAATGATGAATCAATCTGATTAAAACACAGATCCTATTTCGTTTCGTTTTTTATAGTTCAAAATTTCGTTTTACGTGTCTTTACTACACTAGGATCTGGAAGCGTTGTTATCACTGACGTGTTCTGAATGATGTGAGAGATTAGCCAATGAAACGGTCTATCACGGCGTGTGGTGCACGGAACTCTGGGTGTCCCAATAGAAACATCATCGCTGATTGGTTAATCAACCTTCTGACGTCATAGGGTCAAAAACCACTCGGATGACCCCTGACACGACCTTCCACTACAACTGGTCAGATATTCATGTAGTGCAGGCCATCGAAAGTATAAAAAACGAAACGAAATATAGATCTGTAAGTTAATCAGATTGATTTTGAATGTAAAGCCGGCCTGAAAAATTTGCTAAAGTTACTAACCCTTTTCATATCTTCATAGAAGACAATTAGTACGTTAGGTTCATGTCTTCTCTTCCACCAGCTAATCGTAAAATCAAACCATGAACCATGATCAACTAAAATAATCAATAAAGTAACATCCATCACCGTGATCAATTATCGATAAATCAGTCTGACCGATCAGACAGATAATATCAAACATGAAATATGACATTGATCATAAAAGATAACACTGATGGATTAATAATAACGATATGGCTTGCAACGTCGATCGCATATTCCTGAAGCAGTGGCCTGAAAAATCCCTTGCTGGCCATTGCTGGATTGGCTTCTGATACTAATTGAGCTTTGGAGAGCATGTTCGTTTTAAAATAATTCGGTTGCACGATAGGGTCTTTACCAGTGGGAGCAAAACAGAAAATCAGGAGAAAACCTACAAGGTTAGAGGCGAGCCAACTCCGGACGCTTTTAAAATAACCCATACCGCGTTTCATTTATGTACAGTTAGGAAGTTCCTATCACACAATTTTTTTGATAACTGCAGCTGGGACTATCATTCTAGATTTATACTAGATTTATATGGCCAGGTCTCTGAAGCTTGAAATGATATATCATAATTAAAACAATAATTTCAAAGACCGTCTTATTTCCCTTGAGATTAGAGACATGGTACGTAACCATCAACCGTGTTGAGATTGTTTGGAACAGTTTTACATGACTGTTCTCACCTTAATGGACAGTGATTGAGTCCTTTGATGTTATGGTTATCATGTCAGTCATATCATATCTATGGGGAAATTATATCTTGTTTGGAATATGAATGGTTTTTTTTCTAGATGTATTAGAATTGATATTTGGCCAAAGTAAGTGAATTAAATTTAGCTGAAACCACAGAATTATTCAAAGTAATGGGAAAATTATGTCTTATTGCATGAATGTTTTTTGTTTTTTTATGTATTAGAATTGATATTAATAAGTGGATTTTATGCATCATTGAACAAACGAATTATCTAAACTAAATAATCCCGAAAATAAACCATGTTAAACATTGGCATTGATTTAATCATGAAATTATAGCAATCAGATTACAATACAGATCTATATTTCGTTTCGTTTTGTTTTATACTTTCGATGGCCTCTACTACATGAAGATCTGACGAGTTACAGTGGGAGGTCGCGTCAAGAGCGGCTTTTGACCCTATGCTGTCAGACATTTGATTAACCAACTAGCATTGCTGTTTCTAGTAGGTTACCCACAGTTCCGTGCACCACACGTCAAAAGCTCGCCGTAACAGACCGTTTCATTGGCTAATCCCTCACATCACCCAGAACACGTCAATGATAACAACTCTTCCAGATCGCAGTGTAGTAAAGACAAGTAAAACGAAATTTTGAACTATAAAAAACGAAACGAAATAGGATCTGTGTTTTCATCAGATTGGAAATTACAGCATAGAAAACCGCATTAAAATACGTGGGCTTCCGAGTGGCTCCGATCCATAAATTAAAACTTAAAACGTCTGTATCTCAACAATGGCTTGATAGATTTATCTCATAATGTATAACAATCTTTTTAGAATCTCCCCGCATGGCGCACGCTATGTTTTATAAATACGAACATCTTTAAATTTAACCAACCTTTTCCTGTTAGGAACATGATTAGAAAATCTCTCCAAGTTCCAGTAAAATCACCAAAGGAAGAACTGGATTTATAAAAATTATAATACGAGACACTGACATCTTTTGGATTTCTAAAAACGACCACAACCTGGAAAAGAATTTTAATACAAGTAGTTAAATATTTTAGTATAGCACATTCGATGTCGCCAGAGGGAGTGGTGTTTTGAAGATACATTGTCCCGAAAGTATTTATCGGGTGGTTATTTCCAATAAAAGTATGGCAAATTTGGTATATATGGAAAGTATCACTAACTGGCAACCCGACTGTTGTCTGCCAGCTTTTTGTGTGCTATTTAGACTGAGGGAGCGGTTGTTATTTCTTAATAAAATGTTGCTTTATTCAACTTACAGATTGGGTAACAAAATGGCGACCGCGGCCACAATTGGCCAAACTCTATTTACAGACACAATATTAACAAAATTTCGTTATACTTGTCTTCACAACACTAGGATCTGGAAGAGTTGTTATATAACAGGCGTTCTAGTGAGGAATTAGCATATGAAACGGGCTGTTACGGCGAGTTCTTAGCGTTCTCTGCACGGAACTGTGGGTAAACCCCTAGAAATGTCAACGCTGATTGATTAATCAATGTCTAACGTCACAGGGACAAAAGCCGCTCGTATGACCCCCTGACACGACCTCCCAGTACAACTGGTCAGATCTTCATATAGTGTAGACGATCGAAAGTAAAACAAACGAAACGAAATATAAATCTGTATTTCAATCAGATTGTGAATCTTATTAAAGCGGTTTTTTGGGTTTTTTTGCAAACATCAATGTCTCCGTAACTGGGTCTAAAATTCATATGAATATTTATCGTCGAAAAATTCATAACCGGTTATCTACGACTATTAAAATTCTCGACTTTAGAACAGATCATTGACTATATGTGCAACAGTGTCAAAATCATCTTCAAAAACGACAACACTGAGCGTTACCCATAATTAAATAGTAGGCACATACCTTGGATTTATCGAGTTTTTTCGGCATCAGGCGAAATGGAAGATGTGACTTGATTACCCTTGGTGACCTCATACCATGTGCAATATCTAAACCAACCTCGTTGAGCGTCAAATCCTTAAATTCTAGGAATGGAGACCGGAAGTAGATTGGAGTTTTTGAAGCTGTCTCAAAGTCTCCATCATGAACAACCAACCATAATATTTCCTGCATCCATGTTGTTCCTAGAACAATAACAAGATCATGTATGTTAGGATAGTGCTAAATGATAAGGCCAACTGAATTTTTCGGCATAGATCACGTTATGTAAACAGGGCTAGCGCTAATCCCAATCCTAACCCTAACCTTGGACCTAGCCCCAATGCTTATCCAACATAGAATCTCACCAACAATCACGTGCCCTAACCTTATTTACATCTCAACGACCTTCACAAAAATTGAGCTGGCCTTTACAATAGGGAGAAGAGAGAGAGAGAGAGAGAGAGAGAGAAATGGGGTTTAACGTCCACTCGACACAAACTAGGTCATTTCGGTACTAACATATGGTCCAATTTTATTTCAATAATTTGCTTGCGCGTAGGGGTCTTTAGCAATGGTAGGAAATCGGAGGACCCGGAGCAAACTTACGAGGTTAGGTAGGCGACCCTAATCCTTTCCTAAATAGGAAATAACGAGACAATAAATAACAGTGATGTGGACGTCGGTTTTTGTAAATGAAATTTGAAAAGTACTTAATACCCCACAATGTATTATGTTATTGGTCAAAACCGAACCACGAATGGTCATAATTATGTATTATAGCCTGTGCTAATAATTTTTCTAGTGAATTTCCAAGAGGAAAAAAAAAAGGATCTGAAGCAAAATATGCTGAATGTAAATCAAGCAATCCAGATTCGGATGCTAAGTATTGAAACACGCTTTGACATAACTTTCCCAATCCACCAATGACGTAGATTACGGGGGCAAGAAAGACATGTTAGGCGCCGACCAACGGGCACTCATTATTTCGGCCTATTCTATTCAAAATGGTTAAATAACATAAATCAATTACAAAAGAGCGAAAAATATGAAATATATTTAATGACTGTACCGATTAAATGTTGTAACAAGCCCTACCGGCTCCTACAAATATTACTTTTTTTTTTATAAACAATATTTTTATTCAGGATGTCTGAATGGGATTGGGGAACAGGCTTAGCCTATGCAAAACCCCTCCGCCACTCGGCAAACCTCGGCAGATTATGTTACTCTACATCTAGCCTCGGCGGTATGACGTAAATGATATGTACCTTATTAGGAAAACTTGCCGCTTTTAAAAAGAAGTTATCAAAATTGCGTCGTTCGAAGCGTGTGTAGAATTTTTAGTGCAAAGTTGTTCCTGTTTGAAGAAAATCGGATAAACTTGAAAGAAAAACAGCTTCAGACTTTGAAATATTTGTCTGATAAAACATTCTTCAAAGGCGTCTTCATGGGCAACGCCGTTCGTAATCCGGGAACTTGAAAGTAGTTCCAATGGCGGACTTGGTCATACATCCGAGGCTAGATGTAGGTTACTGGAATCTGTTGAGGTTTGCCGAGTGCTTCTCGTGCAACAAAAAGAGGTTGATACTGCGAACATGTTTCTGTAAATATTATACGCAACTTCCAGTTAAATACCTCAAATTGTAACCGAACGTATTTAAAGGTACGTTCCCAGAAAAGTATTTATCGGGTGGTTATTTCCTATAAAAGTATGGCAATTTTGGTATATATGGAAAGTAGAAATATCCAATCTTACTAGAAAAATACTGGATTCCCTGAAAAACACTCATGGATCGCACACAGGACAAAAATGTAAAGGTTTCTCTAATCAACAGCCTGACGATTAGGAGTGCCTGCACGCGTGACGTCAAAGGTTGCATGTGGAGATTGCGCGCTTGACGTACATGTTGATAAACTTTATGAAGAGTTAGACGTACAACACTCTCTGAGACAAAAATTACGGAAAAAGACGCGGGCAGTGGTTAATCCGAGAATCTATTTAGGCTTCGATATTTGTAATAAATAGTCAGCGATTAAAGACAACATAGTCTTGGGTATGCAATGAATCTCCTCCGACTTTGCACCCTTGCTAGGTACCGAGAGAGGTAAGTCACGTAACACAAACATAACCTCTTTTGATCGATTTTTTTATAGCCAGGGTATTCCTTGGTAATTGCAATGTTTTGAGAAGGATTTGAAGCAAAATTATGATAAATTAAATAGTTGGAATATGTTTTTAGTCCAAAAATATCATCACAAATCCACCTGTTTGTACCCGGGAATGTATGTTAAAGACAACAAAGGACCCAAATTCAGTCAATTTAACGGAATTCACCCTTGTCACCCACACTTTCATCCCTGCTCCACCTCCTCGTATAATATATAACCGAGGGTTATAAAAATAATATAGCACGTTGGGCATCAAACGAAAATATCTTTCATTACCCAGCTCATAATCATAAAAATTAGCTTTCAATATTAACGGTAGCAGACAAGCATGAAATTGGCTTTATTTGTCATGTTTAAGCAGAGTAACCACAAGTTAAACATGACTTGTTAAAGTTAGATGAGATAGAAAATACAGAAGAACTAGATCAATAATAGTTGAGTTATTCAACAAGAAACTTGGAATTTTTTCTTGATGAAGGTTAAAACTACCAGTTTGCGTCATTTTGGCTTATCTTGTCGATGAGAAAGAGAGAAATGGCGTTTAACGTTGATTACTCGACACAAACTAGGTCTTTTCGGGACTAACATATAGTTCAATTTAATTTCAATAATGTGCTTGCGCGAAGGGGTCTTTAGCAGTGGGAGGAAACCGGAGGACCCGGAGAAAACCCACGAGGTTTGGCAAGCGACCCCCTTTCTTATCACGTACAAGTAGGAAATCGAAACCACGCCACTTGACTTAATGACAGACCTTATGCTGCAACGCGCATACGTTAAGTTAACCATTCGGCCACCCAACCCCGCCTTTTTGATGGTTGGGTTAGAAATATCGTAATAAATCAAAGCTTTGGTATGTGTAAAATAATCGAAAAGCCCAGTCATTGCAGAAAAGTAGAAAGTTAAAGAAGCTAAATCGCTAATATTTGGGACCTAGAAATTGACACAAATGGGTCGCAACGCATACAATAATGTAATATGAATGTATATAAATTGATTTACATTCAATCGTTTCTGTTTTTACTGTAATTTCTAATCAGTATTCTCAATCGAATTTCAATCTCTAGCGTCTGGTTATTCCAGTCTACGCCGATAGTATTTATTGGGCATGCTCTCCAGATAAGAATATAGCGTCACCGTTTGACATGACTTGTGGAATATGCCTAGCCTCGTTTTTCGAGTCCCTTATTACAAATAGCGCTGAAACGCATTATGGTACACGATTCGTGTACCAATTGTAAAAAGTTTATTTTGTCTTAAATATTGGATATCAGAAGGCCATCTTTTCCCGGTAAGATCACAACATCAATGTTGATTTAAACCGACAAATAAATCGCGTTTTCAATGTCGAAGATTTTGGATGATATTGAGTTAGAGACTTAGCTACTTTAAGCCCCACTGTATATCTACACAAAAATGAAAGAAAGTCATGTACTAGCATATAAAGAGTTCGACGAATCTACAGAATCCAATTAGTACAAAAAGCTTTTAAGACAAGTACTGTTACATTAAAATGCTTTTAATTTAGACTGGACAGTTTCTTCGTCCGACTTCCGGACCTCTATCAATTATTCCTTGGATCGATAGACACCGGAAAACGCTTTAATAGAACTGCCACTTGTTTTTCACGGTAAATTTAACACCAGTCTCAACGATCAAACCTTGCCGTTACTTTCTATACTATTGAAGTACACGATTCTAGCTCCAACTATTGTTTAATCCAATTAGTATCATAGTCATCGCTATCTTAAATCGGATTAAGAAGTTTGTGCTCTAATTATTGTTTTAATTCATTTCATGGATTTGTGGAGAATAATGTTTGTTCCGACTTTTCACTAGTAACTCAAAATATAAAGCCTGAATGTTCTTTATTACATCCCGGGTGGGGTGGGGTGGGTTATGGCCGAATGGTTATCGCGCCCGCGTTGTATCATAAGGTCTGTCACCGAGTCAGCTGGCGTGGTTTCGGTTCCCCGGTTGTATGTAACAAGAAGGGCCGCCTGTCCAACCTCGTGGGTTTTCTCCAGGTCCTCCGGTTTCCCCCCACTGATAAAGACACCTGCGCGTAAGCAAATTTTTGAAATAAAATTGAACCATATGTTAGTCCCGAAATCCCGTCCGGGCACCCCCAACAAAAATATTTATATGTGTGTGCCGGGGAGGCGGCGTCCCTCCCAGTGCCGCCGGGTAATATTGGGCTGTATGGAACATGCTAGAGTCGATTTGTAGCAAATATCTAACCCACTGATTGAGCACTATGATTATGATTAAAATGTTGAAAATCGCATTGAAACCGCGTGATTTTTTGCCATTTGCGAGGGTGCACAAAAACTCAAAAGCATGACTCAAAGCTCTTCATTGCGTCCCTCTTACTTAGCCCCTCTCTGAAAGCGGTTCATATTTAGCCTATATAAATATCAAGGTATGCCTCTTGAAGAGCACCAGCCTTAATTTCGTATGTACAGAAGTTATGTTTTCCCCTTCGGGTGAACTCAAGCCTACTGACTATCAAAAACATTTCCAACACGCAAGGTGATAGTTTTTTATTTTATGATCAGTAGTGGAATACCACGTTTTATCAGTGAAATAAAAGTGTTATTTCACTGGCTAAAGTAGTCCATGTTGTTTTTACCTTAAATGATTGTAAAATCATAAAATAAATAGAACATTTGTCGTTTTGTCGTGAATAACATATTTTATTTCATCTCTAAGCAAGAAAACGTTTATATTTTCACTCATGCTACGCATTCGTGAAAATATAAGTTTTCTTGCTTCTCGATGAAATAAAATATGTTATTCACTCTAAAACGACAAATATCCTCTATATATTCTGTTGGGAATGAATGTGCAACGTTAAGGTCCCGAGTTCACGGAGCATTCTCAGACTGAACTTCACAATTTACTCAACTTTCAATCACTGTTTATGAGAAATATCTTTGATCTAGAATCACAAAACTTTACACATAGTTTCTTATTGATGTATTTGATACATTAAAACGACAAAAGTTTTATAAGGGGCTATATTTGAGTTAAAATAAGGCGAACAGTTTTGAGTAAATTCTGAAGTCTGGGAATGCTTTTTGAACTCGGGGCCAGGTATAAATGACTATACCTTCAAAAACTACATTTTGTAAGATTTCTATGGAATACAATTACCGAACAATGCTTATCTATTCTTTGCCAAGGTAATTTTGTCCAGTGTATTTCCACTTCAATTGTAATATGCCAATGAAACATTTTACCCTCTCGATTGTGTGAAATTATCTAGATCTGCGAAGCTTTTAACTAGGCCTACCCAAGCTTAGGCCTAGTTAATAAACATTAAAAAGCGATCATCTAATTTTTAGCCATTCACGTAATAAATTGAAACTTTAAAGATATCTCACGATAAGTCAACCTACCTGCTTTAGGATAACTAACAATAAAAACATCGTCGTCTCTGACTCTAAAATCCTTCACAGCATCCAAAATATCGGGCGGGCTATATCCAAAAAACAGAACACCGTCATACACATGTTCCCCTGGTAAAACGTGACGGTAACCATAGTCCTGCACGTGCTTGCCTGGTACCAGCTCTATGCTATCGGCCATTTTGTTAGATAATGTTGAAAGTATGGAGTGAGAGAGGAATACGATTAGAAATACAGTAGAAGGTGAATATTGATTAGTAATTATTCTCTATATTGACAGTGAAACCCTTTACGATGCTTCCGTATTAATACCGTTGATGGATGGATCCATCCCACTGCAATCAGTCAATAGTCTTCGCACAATTTACGTGTTTTTTAATAATATTTTTCTCATTTCTTTTCTTCTCTGTTCGAGATTCTATGAATACGATAGCCAGACTATTCACAACGGTTGAAAGACGATGAATGTGTTGAAATCAATCAACATACAATAGCAATTTAAGCACAGGTTTACAAATGCAACGGTTTATTTGGATACCTGGATAGGTTGGTCTCTACTAGATTAGACTAGGCTATATTTGCAGGACAGCCTTATTATAATCAATATACAATCAATATATGATATAGGATTTCATATCTCAATTTCAGTTAAAGTTAATATGCTAAATGCTTCACAAGCACCGACTTTTATGGGTGTTTTTTTTCTTTCTTCCCTGAAATAACTGGATAAGCGACTTTAGTAGGCCTATCGGTACTGAATTCCAGAAGCTCTGGGAATAGGCCTACGTAATCTTGAATAATAATAATAAAATATTGCTATTCAATTTTCTGTTTTCCAAAAATGTTATAGGTTAAATTTTGAGGTATTGGACACGTGCATAATCTTATCACATGCTTTAAAAGATCATGTATAGTAATTTGTGGGATTCCGTTATTTTACTGGATAATATATTCACAGAAATGTATTAGCAGAATCAGCTTTTTATAAATGCATTCGTCGGTATGGGAGACGTGTTTGTTATTAATATTATAAAAGAAAATTCGACGCTTCTTGCAATAATATGCATCCATTATAAACTCTTTAATAAAAATATCGGGAAAGAATCGAAACTCGTTTTCCGAGAAAATGGCGGATGAGGTTGAAATTTAATTAGCTGATAACCGCCCTAAAGAAGATAATGATGATAATCATCCAAATCAAGCATGGGACAAAAGATCTGGGCCCTTATTCACGAAAACTTAAGCTAAGATAAAATCCCTTATTCACGAAAACTTAAACTAAGATAAAATCGAAATTTTAAGAAATACTGCAACTTCTTGGATATATGCAAATTGATTTTACTGGTCAGCCAATCGAATTGCAGTATTTCTTAAAATTTCGATTTTATCTTAGTTTAAGTTTTCGTGAAGAAGGGCCCTGGATGGTTTGCGGTCGCCAAGGATGAAATGGGGAAATTACTTTAGGAGAACCATGGAGATTTACGAAATTCCAGGAAGCTGCGGCGGATTAATTCGATAGGTTAACCCAGGTCGCTCACATTGGAATTTCTCGGTATTCTCACTCAACCAGTTGAGGATATTATTGAATGTACGTGGACTGTCCCCGAGTTCACAAAACATTCTCAGACTTAAGTTAAGAATTTACTCAAAATTGTTCGCATTATATTAACTAATATATAACCCTTTATAAAACTTATGTTGTTTTAATGTATCAAATACATCGGAAAGAAACTATGTGCAAAATTGTGTTTCTGGAACCAAGATATTTCTCATAAAACAGTGATTGAAAGTTGAGTAAATTCTCAACTTAAGTCTGAGAATGCTTTGTTAATTTGAAGCCAGGTCTAACGCCATCTTTTCAGCATAGGCAGGGTTTTCAGTTATATTAAATTCGGTCGTAATTATGCCGTCTGATTATTTTATAGTTTAAAGGAGCTAAATCGCTAACATTTGAAACCTAGAAATTGACAAAATTGGGTCGCAACGCATATAATACTGTAACATGAATGTATATAAACTGATTTACATTCAATGGTTTCCGTTTTTACTCCAGTTTCAAATCTGTTGTGTTCGGCGAAATAAGCCAGCAGTCTCAAGCGAGTGCAAATTTCTAGCGTCTGGTTATTCCAGCCTACATTCGCCGTTAGATTTGGTGCAATGTGTCTAGCCTCGTCCCTCGATACATCTGGGGCTGAAGCGCATTATGGTACACGATTCGTGTACCAATGGTAAACTGTTTATTTTGTCTTAAATATTAGATATCAGAAGCCCACCTTTTCCCGGTAAGATCACAACATAAATGTTGATTTAAATTGACCAATAAATCGTGTTTTCAGTGTCGAAGATTTTGGATGATATTGAGTTAGAGACTTAGCTACTTTAATGTAAGTCACGGCCCTGCAGCAATGGAAATAAGTTTCATTTTAACGACATGTCTCATACAAGCGTATTATGGAAAACTATTTTTTCAGCTCCATCGGCCCAGGCTCTGAAAAAAAAATATACGCCTAAACAAATCAATTCATTAACCTTACGCTATCTAGCAAAAACTAGTATGTTCAGAGGCCAATACTGAACAAGAGAATGTTGAGCTTTTCTGGAAGGAACTGAAGTACACCAGTTATTTCAATCTTTATTATAATAATAATAAAAAAAAACACAATTTCCCATCTATTTCAAATTCAAGAATCGTGAATATCTACTCCCTTTAAATTATTCTATCAACAGGACAGAAAACAGAACTGCTGAAAGAAGATTGATGAAATCTGCTTTTGTTATTTAACAGCTGTGTTCTGTAGACAATCATAATTCACACGTATTTTATAATACATATGCAATAAATACAACACATATATAACCATGGTTACTTTAACGTTGAGAGCGAGAGAGATTCAACATCCACTCGACACAACTAGGTCATTTCGGGACTAAGATATGGTTCAATTGAATTTTAATAATTCGCTTGCGCGTAGGGGTCTTTAACAGTGGGAGGAAACCGGAGGACTCGGATAAAACACACGAGGTTGGACAGGGAATCGACCTGGGAATCGAAACCACGCCAGTTGACTAAATGACAGACTTTATGATACAGCGCACACGCGCTAACCATTCTGCCACCCCCCCCCCACCCTCAAAAAGAAAAGTATACCTAGTTATATAGGGTAGACGACATGTATTCCTCCGAGTCATGCACCTGTACTAACAGTTCAGGATTAGTGCCAATGTTCAATATAATATGACATACCATGCCACTCTAAAAAAAAATAAATGTCGTTCACAGCCGACATGGCGTCATCATTACTAGGAAAATACCAACCGGCTAGTTCCTTTTACATTTTCGGAAACGGTTCTAATTCATGGTTACAAATCTGGCCAAAAATATTAGGATCTGCTTCAAAATGGCGCAGATTGTAACGGGACGTCAGGAATCCGACACGTTTCTGATCCACTGTCAAAGGCTTTGGCACCCATCTTGCAGAAACTTTTGTCATCCCCTACTCGTTGGCAATAATGTGCTCAACCCTTTGCCTTTTCAATCCAATTCATAAAAGATGCCCACAACGCTTGCAATATGTCGAGTGTTCGATCAGCCATCACCATATCATGCACCCAGGTAATGTTTTCTTGAATGGTTGCTGTTGATGGCCTTGAATGAGGCGGGTCATCATCAAGGCTCTCTCTGCCACTTTTAAATTCCTCTAATCTGTGAAAAGGGACACCATCCCCTTGTTGGCGATAATGTGCTCAGTCCTCTCATGAGACCTGCCCAAAACACTAGCAATATGTCGAGGTGGTCAATGGTCGATCAGCCATCGCCACGTAATGTTTTCTTGAATTGTTGCTGTATATGGCCTTTCAGGACGCTAAAATTCTACAGGCCACTCCTTTACTGTGGAAAAGGGGGTCGTCCCCTAAAGTGGAGACCATGTCGGCATGTGGTGTGTGCTGGGTTTAATCCGTTCAGTTGCGGGTACTTGATGGCTACCCTCTAGCCGGTTTGTCTTATTTCTGTAGATTTCAATGGATGGGGTTCACAAGAGACAATAACACTAGGCCTACAGCTTTTTTTTTCAGCCAGCCCTCGTATATGCTCTTCGTGAAAACATAGCATTTATTCAAAAGTTTCAGTAATCCGCGGCGACCCCGAGGTTGGGAACCCAGGCGATAGATTCATTTTTTAACAGATTTGTTTTTTTCAAATTCGACGTGAAGCATTGGGACATTGCGAGGATGAGCCCTACCGGTTTTCCCCCAGTCTTACAAAATGTGGACGTATCTCACATGGCAAGCTCTTGTTCATATACGTGGACATACTGTGTAGCCAGGGCAACTTCTCGAAAGTGAATTTATCAATAGGCCTACTCGGTTTTGTTAAGTAAAGTTTATTCGCCTACACGTAATTTGTTAACGCGATAGATGCTACAGTGTTTGTTTTTTTTCCAAATTTGATTTGTAGCATTTTGACACTAAAAAGGACGAAGGTTGGGTCTAAATATTAAGGCCACCTGCAGATTCCGTCATGGTCACGAGATGTAAACAGGGCTAGCGCTAAACCCTAACCCACAATCCCGTGTCCTAACCATATTTACATTTCGTGGCCTTAATATTTAGACTGGCCATGAACGAAGCCAATGGATTCCCCGCACTCTTCTTGGATTATTTCCCCTTGTCAGAAATCTTGTTGACGCGATAGAAGGTACAGTTTTGTTGGGTTTTTTTTTGCAAATATGGTTGAAGAGTTGTAGTCCTATACTCCTATCGATTCTCTCGGCACTCTCCAACCTTCTGTTATGGAAGGATGAACCCGGTTTATTTTCAGCAACCTAGGACTGTTCTAAAGATGTGTGCAGGAAAGTTTGTGAAGATGATCCAGAGATTATCCTTTCTAATAAGCTGTAGTCAATACACAGCTGCACTGTAGGCGTATTTCCACGCTTTGTGTGAATATAGCACGGCTTTCATGAGTTAACAGGTTTAACCAGAAGGGGTGTTCTCATCCAGCTCAAAATATTGATTAAGGGGGTTTAGTGCTGGGGGATTATGGTCTGTAGCTGAAATGTGTTCACCTAATTAGATATGGATTAACCGTTTAATAAGTGTCATGTGAACTGTGTTTAATAAGTGACTGAAACAAGCCAACAGTGAGGCTGATGTCCCCCGCCGAAATCCGCAAATAAATAGATGCCACATATTAATTAATCGCACATCTATTTTTTTCAAAAGTATCGAGCAATCAAACTGATTATTAACTATACACTAAGTTTCATCACTCTATCAGACAGAATCAAAGTTATATTGTCCCAAAGCATCGACCAAGGAAATTGCTTGTCTCTGCTTAGCTTGAGATCGATATGTTAATCATTGAACTCAGTCAAGACGAACATCTACATCAAGTTTAAACATTCTACCTAATTAGAAGCAGTGTGAACATTTTAGCTCAATTAGAAGGAGAGTTATTGTGTTCCGAAGTCTCGGCCAATCAAATTGCTTATCGCTCTGCTTACCCTGAGCAGAAAATGCTCAT